ATATATATATATATATATATATATGTTGCCAGTTGACTGGATTTATTTCCCCACAAACGGTTTATGGCTTCATAATTCTGCAATAACACACGTCTCTTGTATTTACATAGAAACCACAAACAGCAGCACAGAACTTCAGCTTCTGATGGAGAGAGGAGACGGAGAGAAGCTCATGACCAACAGTGAGAAAATGACGTATTTGGACAAGAGAAAGGAAAAACTTGATGAGGACTTACAGAACAATGAGGGAGAACTGCAACATGTACAAGAGATGATAATGACACTGGTGAACCAGAAGAAAGAGCTGAAGAACCAGAGAGAGAAACTCACCTCACAACAGCAGCAGACCAAGACACAGCTAGAACAGTGCAAGAAGAAGAAAGACCCACTGATAGACAAAGAAAACAAAACGAAGAAGCGTGACGAAAACATACAGAAACTGGAGAAGAGGGAGAAAGAACTTGAGGAAATGTTAAAGAACACAGAGAAACTCCTGGAGTCAACAGAGGAGATGATTAATAAAATGACAGAAAGGAAAGGCAAACTAGAGAGAGATAAGGAGAAGATGAATAAACTCCTGAAAGAGACTGAAAGAGAAAGAGAAGAGATTCAGAGTAAACCTCAGTCAGAGCAGTCAGAGCAGTCAGAGAGAGAAGAGGAAGTAAATCACAACGGCTTAAACATTTATCACATTTGATGCATTCATTTTAGATCTCTAATGTCTCGATCTTTGTCAGTTTATTTTGGCAATGCATACAACAATGCTCCAGTTACCCAGTGCTTGAATGTGTTGTATGTGAAAACATTGTGCTGAAATATTATGTTGTGTGATGAAATAATCCATAAGAATTCATTGAAGCGATAGCTCACACACAGGCCGTGGTATGTTTAACAACACCTCTGAGCTGTGATATAATCACAACTAAGGGTTAGGGTTAACCCTAACCCATTTCATCAAGTATGGAATTATGAAAGGAATAGACATTACTATTTAAAAAATGTTGATTAAAAGAAACAGCAGCATAATAAGTTGGTCCAACATTTTGACACTTGGGCGTCACTTTATAAAACTAAGACGCTCTAAGCGCTAAGAATCACCCAGTATATTAAATCCAGCATCATCTCCGTAAAGGTTCTCTTTTGTCCAGGTCAATGGATTTGTTTTAGTCCTGAAATATATCACACATTCAAGACGCTTCATCAATTTGAATATGATAGATGAAAATGTCCTCAAGACCAAACGAAGTCCATTTGCTTTAAATTAAGGACTCCACTTGTGTCATGTAATACTTCAAGAGTCACATTTTTGTTTAGTTTATTATGTAATAATTTCCTAATTGCACATAACTTTTTTGCAGTAGCAGTTGCTTATGTTTTGTAGTTGAAAAATGCTTTACGTTTGTAAGGAAAAAAATGTTTGTAAGGAATTGAATGAGTAGACCTTTATGATTATAAAAGAAATATCAAATAACTCAACAAATGTCTTTTTTGACTCAATCTTTATTTCTTTAACAATAAAAAAAAAAAAATACAGCAAAGAACAGTAAATTGTGGAGCCTTAGAAAAAGCCAAGACAACAGAGCTCTCCAGCAGAGTGTTGATCCAACGTCTGCATTAATACAACAAACTGTGAAGGGGGTAAGGGACACCCCAGCTCATGCTCGTGGAATGAGTCATCTTGTTAAACCATAACTGACGTCCATTTTTCTTGTTTACGCTAATAATGACTCTTCAAAAAGAGGTTGAGGTTCTATATCAACAGCATTTTTTGAAAGTTTTTTTTGCTTTGTGTGGTTTGCGTCTAAGATGCTTAAATTATCACCAGCATCTGCAGTCTCTAAAGAAAAACATAGAAGATATACAGCACGCTTTTTAAAAATAGGTCAAGCGTCTATCCGTGGGTTTGAGTTTTTTCTGCTTGTTACAAAGTCTAATACAATACACAGAACTGTGAGACCTAATGAAGGCTGGCACATTTGTTCCTCAAAGTTGGACTGAAATGTACAAAAAACCCATTCCAATAACAAGTACTCAAGCCATTGACTGAAAGAAAGTTCATTAAACTTTGTACTTGGTGTCAATTTTCTCTTTTTTTTTGTATGGAGTTATTTTTGTGTAACTCTCACTTTCCCAAAGTGAAGTAGTCCCACCAGCAGCAGCAGCAGAGCCACCATCACTATGGTGAACACAGTCCTTAAGACGAGGTACACATGACAGGAGTGATCTGAGGAGGGAGGAGTCTCTCTGTGAACTGCTGCAAAAACACAGATACAGGTGTCACAATGCATTATGCGTTACTGTTTAACATACAATGAATTGTTTGATAAAGTCACCGGCACTGTGAATATTCCTGCGATAGAAGGAAATATTTTTATTACATGTTTTCTTTAACCTCATGAAAGTAATATCTTCAATTGCTAAGACGAGAATAATAATAAACAATTTACTACAGCTGTTTTTTAGTAGTTTTAGCATATCTTCAGTATTTGACAACTGTCCAAGTCTAATTCTATTTGTAAAATTGTATCATCATTGTTCATTAAGATAAATTATCTTCCAGTTGTTTCTTAATTATTTTGTTTGCAGATGATACTCGTACCTTTTCTTCCAACAGAACATAAAGATCATTAACTTCACAGCCATATTGAACAGTTAATAAAATCATATATCATAATGGGTTAGATTGAGAAAAGTGTTGCTCCTAAATTAAATTAATTACTATATTTGGCTCTACATTAGAAACCAAAAGAATCCATGCTCACATAACTAATGAGCTTTTTGGATGAAGCCATTTCAGCAGTAGTAATGATGCAAGTCATGAACATATTAGTATGACTTTTCTTTTAACGAACAACATTAGGGACTATTGGGAAAATAAGATACATGCTGAATCACAGAACAACCTTTGGTTTACTCGGTGATTAAATCCATTTTAAATCGCTGAAGTACAACATAGGTGTGTACACAATATACACGTTTGGAAAGAAATAATTTTGAAGATATTTCTTACAATTGTTTGAATTTGTTCAGATTTTAATATAAAAAAACACTTCGCACATTTACAACTACAAAACCAGTTGCAGTCAGCAGTTTTGGCTGCAGTTACAAGACCATTAGATGCCCAGTTTAGATTTTCTCATTTAGAGTAGCCTCACAATAAGCAGTTTGGGTTAGTAATCATTTTTCTCTGACTTTTAACATTTATATTATTTAAATCTCATATTGTGCATAACAACAAATACAAATCTTGAAACTCTGATATGTCTCACCTCTGACAGCGAGCCAGCTCTGCGGTGATTCTCCAAACTCAGAGATGCTGCACTTGTAAAGTCCTTCATTAGATTTAAAAACATCACGCATGGTCATCTCTCCCGTGGAGTCAGTGCCGATGGGCAAATCATCTTTATAGAAATCAGCTATGAGGGCCGAGGAGGTGGTTTTGCTTCTGCAGCGTAGAGTCACAGTGTCTCCCTCCTTCACAGGGAGAGCAGGACTCTCAAGGATCACATTTCCAGCTAAACAAAAAAGAAGTTTGATATTGCTTTGTTAGAACTTGTGTATTTAGATCTACATCATTTTGAGATGAGTTATCAGCAAATATGTTTTAACAATAAGTCCATTACCAGTGACCGTGATGTTGACGACGTTGCTTCTCTCCTCTCCAGCCTCACACCAGTATTCTCCACTGTCTGTTAAATAAACAGGTTTGATGGCACAGACGGATGCTGGTGTCGTCACCCAGGTACTGACGCACTCATCGACTTTTCCCTTCATCTTCCTCATGACAGTCCACCCGGTTGTGGTGATAAAACCCTCACAGTTAATAGAGATGGAGCTGTATTCAAAGAGCTGCAGTTTGGTTGGAACAATCAGAGCATCTACAACAGAAATACAGAGGATATATTAGGAGATTGAGGAATATTAACTTCTAATATTCAGATTCATATATTTATATTTTGGAGAACAATACAGATGTTCTGACATTTAGCACTAAAAGTATAACTTACAATAATAAAATAGGTTTAACTTTTTTTAAATGAAGGATATTGTATGATATTAATATATTACATTAACATGTAAATATTGTTGTTTGATTAGAAGTAATAGACTGACTTTCCAGAGCATTATGCAGGTGAACTCTTGCAACCGGCAACAGCAACACATTCATCACTGCAGAGATGAAAGAAGAGTTCCAGACACAAATGTTTGTATTTAGTTACATGTCTGTAAGGAAATATACCAAATATGAATTATATCAATGCGATTTGAGCTTTATCTCTTGTAGTAATAAATCACCTTTTTTACTTAAGCTGTTTTTTGTTGCCAATTGTCACGTGAAAACAGAAATTGCAAACAGCTTTATGTTATAAATATGTGATTATGCTGCAGCAAGTGTTTAAAAAATGGTTCATCATTCATATTTGTTGTCTCGCCTCTGACAGTCAGCCAGCTCACAGGTGATTCTCCAGCTCC